ATTCAAACGTGTCGTTCTCCTCGATGCTCTTCAGCTCACTCTCCATGGCCTTCTTCCACTCCTCAGCATCACTACTCTCCAAAGCCTCCTTGAGAGTTGCTGGTTCTCCCGGCATCTCCACCGGAGAGAAGAACACGAAGGCACACTTCTCGTAGTCACTCTCCTCGTCGTCTCCGACCATCATTGCCGCTCCGACCAGGGCTGTCTTGCCCTGCTTTCCCAGTGCATCATAGGTCAGCCTATAAGGGGGTTGAACTCTCCTCTTCCCCATTCCTTCCTCCTCAGCTGCAGGGACTTGAAGGCCTTGGCGTTGCTGCGGTGTGGCTCGGATCCGTGGAGCGCTCCTAGTGCGGGAAGGAAGTGTCGGTGCACGCTCGCTCACTTGCTGCACCTCCTCCTCTTCTTCCTCTGCATCCTTGGCCTCCTCTCCCCCATTCACAAGGGAAGATTGCCTTGTGGTGGTGCTGCCGGTGCTCAACTCCAAAGGCAGCTCCACGTGCTCCAAGCCGGAACTCTTCACCTCTCCAAACCGCACGCCTATCTTCGCCTCATTCTCCGCCTTCCAATCCTTGTACATGAAGTTCTCCATGAACTTATTGGTGAATGGGTCCCAAAGAAGCCACCCTTTGCTGTTTTGAGCCATGCCCAAGTGCACAACCCATATCGCCTTGGCACCAAGCTTGTTGTGCCGAAGATGCTTAGGCACGAGCGCCACGCACATGCACCCGAACACCCGAAGCATATCCACCTTTGGCTTTCTTCCAAGCCACTCCACATAGGGCACCCATTTGTCTGCTCCGACATGAGTCAAAACTCTGTTCTTGGCCACACACGCGCTCCGCACCGCATCAGGCCAGAAATAGTCGGGTAGCCCTGCTTCAATGAGCAACCCGCGTGCCGCCTACGTAATCGTCCGATTCGCTCGCTCGGCGATGCCGTTCATTGCAGGGGAGTATGGCATGGTGAGGGAGTGCTGAATACCATTCTTCTTCAGCCACAACCCAAACTCCTTGCTCAGGAACTCTCTCCCTCGATCGGTGCGGATTGACTTGACTAGACGGTCTTGTTGCCGCTCCACCATCGGGAACCAATCCGTCTTCAACGTTTCAGCCACGTCGCTCTTCTTGGCCAGCACATACACCCAAGTCATGCGGGTGTAGACATCGACAATGGTGAGAAAATACTCAGCTCCAGCAGCTCCAAGCTTCAGGGGGCCCACCACGTCCATCACCACCTCATCAAGCGGTGCCTTAGCCGTCGCCTCCGAACTAGAGAACGGGAATCGGGTGAACTTGGCTTGCATGCACGTCGGGCAGCCAAGTACCTCAATGGGCTCCCCCTTCACACGTATGCCAGCAACCATCTCATTCTTCACTAGCTGCTGCAAGATGGGCAGGGCCACATGCCCCATGCGCCGATGCAAGGTGAGCCAATCACACTCCCCCGTAGCCGAAGTTGGATTGGATAATGCCGCGCTCGCAATAGCGCCCCACATACTCTCTCCGTAGTCCTCCTTCGCTGCTGCCTCGGGGCTCTACTCACCCTTTTGCTGCTCCTTGGTTGCTGCACCACTCTCCTTAGGTTCACTGAACTTGCTGGTCCCTCCAGGTTTGCTCTTCTTGAGCTCATTCTCCTTGGCGCGACCGTTCGCGCCATCGTCGCTACCAACCGCTCCATCCTTGGTGCTGATGCTTGCTGCCACTTGCCTCTCCTTAGGCATAGGGACCACTGGGATCTGCCACATCTCGTTGTAGACATCCCTGTCCTCATGAAGGTCCCAAAGAATTCGATCGCCAAGCCTTGCGGTGTAGGTCTTGGCTCCCTTCGAGTTCGTGTCCATGCCGGCCTTTGCCAACCGCCGCACGGAAATCAGGTTTGCAGCAAGGCTGGGCACCCAAAGCACGTTCTTGAGGCCCACCATCTTCCCATCAGCACCCTGGAACATGGCCTTCGACATGCCTTTCACCTCCGCTCGCTGCCCCAAAGCCAATGTGACATGCTTCACCGGTGACGGCTCGAGTTTGGTGAGCAAGTCCGGGCGAGGTGTCATGCTATAGGTAGCGCCACTATCAATCACCCAATAGTCCAGGGGGTGTAGAGTCACCTTCCCCACAGCTAGTGGCTCCTCAAAGCCTTCATCCTTCTCTGGACCAGCCGGTACTTGCGTCAACACGAAGTAGAATAGACCCGGGTATCGATCGTCGGTCGGGTCCTTGTCGTTGTCTCCGCTCTTCATGTTTGCAGCTCCGCCACCGCGACCGCCACGGCCTCCACGGCCTCGTCCTCTCCCTCCTCCTGCTCCTCTACCCTCTTGGCCTTGAGCAGGGGTCCAACCATCAGGGAGTTTGTAGCAGTCGCGCCACATGTGTCCGCTCTTGTGGCAATAGTGACACTCGCCGTCGAATCGGCCGCGACCGCGTCCGTAGCTCTTGTCGTCGCTGCCGTAACCGCCACTCCCGCGGCCTCCGCCGAAGTTGCTGCCACCAAACCTTCCTCCCCCTCGTCCTCTGCCTCTTCCTTGACCATATCCACGGCCGATGCTCGCTGCCCAAGCACCATCCGCACTCGCCAACTCACGGCGGCAGAAATCCTCTTGAAGGATAGCTCGCTTCACGTCTTCAAGCGAGAGGCGGGGCAAGTCGCGATTAAGGTTGATGATGAGCGAGGACCATGACTCAGGGAGTAGGGCCAACAACTTGGTCTTCTTTTGGAGCTCACTATAGCTCAAATCAGCTCCCTCAAGCCGCGTCAACAAGTCGAAGAATTTCTGCACCCCTTCTTCAACCGTTTCATCCTCTTCAATTCGTAGTGTCGCCATTTGCCGTTCCAACACCACAGCTACCGCCGCTGTTGCAGGAGCGTGTACACCCTTGAGAGCAGCCCATGCCTTTGGTCCCTTCTCTGGTTCACGCTGGAAAGGCTTGATGTGACGGATCTGGCTGCTCCCCAACGCTTGCCCTAGTAGGAGGTAGCCTTGTGCGCTCTTCCGCACCCACGGGCTCTTCTCCGGGTCGTTCTCGGGGCGCTTCTCCGTTCCTTCCATCACCTCCAGCAAATCATAGTGATCAAACACGTTCTCCATTCTGAAGGACCACTCAGCAAAGTTGTCACCGTTGAACTTGTCAAGGCCAAACACTCTAGGCTCGTCCCTAGATGGGCCAACACTTGGTTGCACGGGCGCCATGGCTGAGTCACGGGGTTGGCCTTGAGCTTGGGCTTCTCCACTGCCACCAGCACCTCTGCCACCCCTTTCCTCAGGTCCAGCCATTAACGAAACTGCTTCAAGGGGCTCTGATACCACTTGTTAAAGTCACAGTAGGCTCCAATGTGCCTAAAACGAAAGATAGAGTGCACAGTCGGATTTTTGCATAGCAGCTTCAAACGTTCATACCGATCTGCTCACAACTCCAAATGACTTCATTCAACTTGGATCTGGAGCGCCTTAACGTCGCCTACAATAGGTAATTTAAATCGCACGCTTTCATTAAGAACTGACAACACAGCGTTGGTTTGAACGAACGGCACTATGGCAGCAACATAGTCTTAGAACACAAGATAGGAAGAGTTAGGAAGAGTTACGAGTTGGGAATGACTCCCAGCTCCTACAAACCCCAAAAGCCGAGGTACAGGGATGTGGAACAGTGCCACACTGTCCCCAACCACGAAGGGTCTCGAAACTGCCCTTCATTAAGGCCTACACCAAGTGAAATGTTACACTACACAAAGTAATGTAACTATCTTCAATATCTTGAGGTGCACCCTTTTGGCGAGTTTCGAAATCACTTGAGGCTTGACACTAAGGCTCGAACTCTTCATCACAAACTCATCCTTGAGTTCTTGATGGGTCTTCTGCACACACCTGCGACACGCCGAACGTTCGACACATGACAAAATAGAAACCGCGCACGACAAAATAGAAACCGCGCGGGACAAAATAAAAACCCCGCGCGAGACACAAACAACCGCGTAACACGCGTCTAGCGATAACTCGCTATTGACTCGACACACACACTCGACATCATTACTCAACATTCACACACAATTATAAGCATGAAATATATATTATCCCATGCCCTCATACCATTCCATACACACACACATGCACGCACACGGACAACAAGCCGAGTGCAAACCATAGGGTTGCACCAACAACAGGTGCCACTTCCACTGTCTCGCGCCTCCTCACTGCTCTGCTGGTCTTCGCCTCTGCTCTTGCCTATGCTCTCTAGACACCAAGAGACTAGAAACCCTCTCGCTCCACTGCCCACGAGTCTTGACGCCATGGGAAGAGGACGCACATGTGGTCGACGGTCCATGTTGGATCCAGTGTGCATCCTAGCCGTTGATTGATTGTGCAATGAGCATTTCTTCCCTGAGATCTGGAAGGCTATGTCCTCTATTTTGCGGTAGATGCGTTTTTGGGCAATGAAAGTAGAGTGTATGGTGGGGTGGGATATATTCAAGCCCGAGTACAGCATGGTAATATTCAAGTTCAAGATTCTTGAACTTGAAGTTGCCAATAACAGGGTTACCCTTCTTTGTTTTGAGAAAATTCTCGCGACCCCAGGCAATCGTCCTGCGACAACGGAACCCGATTGTCCAAAACCAGAACTAAGGCGCTGATCGCCAACCATTTGTACTATTCACCACTCACATATCGTAACTTGCTTACCAAGTAGTACTCGTAGGCTAGGAGGCTCCAAGGCAAAAACTAGCGCTAGTTAGCAAAAGCGAGTTGTTGATAGGTGTTTTTTTTTTGTGCGGAAGGAAATATATGTCCACCTCAACCATCTTAGTCAGTGCACGCTCTTATCTCTCCCTCACGTCAGCGGTCTCGTGTTACAACCCGTACACCCACGGCACTTACATTAGTAAACAAGATTCGCGTTACTCGAGTCTTGCATTCAAGCTCGCGTCGCACACGCAGGATCTTGTCACACTTGCTGCCATTCAACCTCGTGTCACGATCGTACTGTTTTAGGCACGGGTCGCTCACGCGAATGCCGTACTGGTTCGCGTAACGCACTCAGCCGTTAGTCGCGCATCTTCCTCCTCGTCGGCCGCTCTTGCCCACGTGAGACCGCTTTCCTCGTCGCCCGCGCTTTCCCTCATTACCCTCCCCGACCCTCTGGTCGCATATGTTCCCATAGTTGCCCACGCTCTCCCACGTTAACCACACATCCCCTCGTCGCAATTGCTAGTAGTAAACATACCGCGCTTCAGATCGTCACCCGCGCTCCCCTCATCACCCTCGTCGACCCACACCGATCCTCGCCGCCCTCACCTCCCTTGGTCATCGACATTCCCTCTCGTCGCTCGCGCTTCCCCTCATCACCCGTGCTGAGCCTCGCCGCCCTCGCCTCCCCTCGTCGCCCGCGCGTCCCGTCGTCGGGCTTGCCTCCCAGTCACTCGCGCTTCCCCTCGTCATCCGTGTTTCCATCCGCTCTTCCCCTCTCCCCATCTCACTATCTCCAGCCCATCCTTCCTCCCTCATTCCTTCCAAAGGGGTGGGACAGATGGGGAGAAACAGAGGTGGTCGCTTCCGCCACCACAATCGAACAGCGTTTTGATTCCCTCTCTGCTCCCCACCATCCTCCCCCCAGCTCTCTCCCCGGCATCTGCCCCCGTTCCCCCCATCCTCTTCCCTGTTTCCCCGTATCCCCTGCCGTGCTTCCCCCCATGCTATCCCCTCTTACCCCGTATCCCCTGCCCTGCTTCCCCCCTTCCCCTTCCCTGCTTCCCCCCATCCCCTTCCCTAATTCCCCCCATCCCCTTCCTTGCTTCCCCTCATCCCCTTCCCTGCTTTCCCCCATCCCCCTCCCTGCTTCCCCCCATCCCCTTCCCTGCTTCCCCCCTTCTCTTTCCCTGCTTCACCCCATCCCCTCCCCTGCTTCCCCCCATCCCGTCCCGTGCTTCCCCCCATCCCCTTCCCTGCTTCCCCCCATCCCCTTCCATGCTTCACCCCATCCCCTTCCCTGCTTCCCCCCATCCCCTTCCCTGCTTCCCCCCATCCCCTTTCCTGCTTCACCCCATCCCCTTCCCTGCTTCCCCCCATCCCCTCCCCTGCTTCCCCCCATCCCCCTCCCTGCTTCCCCCCATCCCCTTCCCTGCTTCCCCCCTTCCCTTTCCCTGCTTCACCCCATCCCCTTCCCTGCTTCCCCCCATCCCCTTCCATGCTTCACCCCATCCCCTTCCCTGCTTCCCCCCATCCCCTTCCCTGCTTCCCCCCATCCCCTTTCCTGCTTCACCCCATCCCCTTCCCTGCTTCCCCCCATCCCCTCCCCTGCTTCCCCCCATCCCCCTCCCTGCTTCCCCCCATCACCTTCCCTGCTTCCCCCCATCCCCTCCCCTGCTTCCCCCCATCCCCCTCCCTGTTTCCCCCCATCCCCTTCCCTTCTTCCCCCCATCCCCTCCCCTGCTTTCCCCCATCCCCTGCCCTACTTCCCCCCATCCCCCTCCCCGCTTCCCCCCATCCCCTTCCCTGCTTTCCCCCATCCCCTGCCTTGCTTCCCCCCATCCCCCTCCCTGCTTCCCCCCTTCACCTTCCCTGTTTTCCCCCATCCTCTCCCCTGCTTCCCCCCATCCCCCTCCCTGTTTCCCCCCATCCCCTTCCCTCCTTCCCCCATCCCCTTCCCTGCTTCCCCCCATCCCCTTCCCTCCTTCCCCCCCTGCTGCCTCCCATCACTCTCATTCTCCTTCCTCCTGCACTCACACCTCTCAGTCCTCTCGCTCTCTCTCTCTCCGTCCTCTCGCACTCGCACTCTCCTCCCCACCACCCTCAGCCCTCCTTCCCCTCACACCCACCCCTGTTCCCACCTGCCCTCCCCATCCCTGCCTTTCCCTCCCTGCCCTGCCCTTCCCTTCTCCATCCCTTCTCAACCCTTCCCTTTCATGTCATCCCCTCCCCTTCCCCCTCATCTTCCGCCCTCCAGTTACCATGCATGTGCACCCATCATTGTCTCCCCATACCGGTACATGCTTTCATCATGTGCGCTTGCTTGTGTTCCCCTGCAGTTGTTCCCTTGGCACCTCACACCACTTCCCCCATGTTCCATCACACAATTCTTTTTGCCTACTCCACTCTCCAAATTTTCAGTGGTGAAGCACAGGAGCAAGCTGAGGCGCAGCTAGAGCTAGTCCATGCTTTACGCCGTACCACCACCTGTTTCTTGTGTGTTGTATGCAAGCATGATACTGTATTATTGTTGGATATATCCATTCCAAAAGCGCAATATGTTTCTGCAGTGCAATATATTCTTCCAAGATGCATGGGCAAGAGTGTCAGAAGGGTAGATTCTACTTTTGATTGTACCCTTCTCAAGGACTTGAAAAAAAACATGAGGGATGGGATGATGGGCTTCGGCGAGTTGCAGTGCCAGAAAATCTTCCTTGGTGTCACTTCACTACCCAGGGAGAGGGAGGGAATACGAGGGATGGGGAGGGGGAACAAGACTAAAGTCAAACAGGGGAGATAAGGAAGAGGGGGGAGAGGAAATCAGGGCTGAGAGGGAAAGACATAAGTACCGTTAAAAGAGGGAGGATAGGGAAGAGGGGAGATAGGAAGAGGGGGAGAGGGAAAGTGTGAGATATGAAGATGGAACGAGATGAAGAAGAGGGGGAAACGAGGGGAAGCAGGGGGGGAAACGAGGGAAAGCAAGGGGGGAAACGAGGGGAAGCAGGGGGGGAAACAAGGGAAAGCAAGGGGGGAAACGAGGGGAAGCAGGGGGGGAAACCAGGGAAAGCAAGGGAGGGAAATGAGGGGCCAGCAGTGGGGAAAATGAGGGGAAGCGGGGGGGGTGGGGGGAGGGATATGAGGGGAAGCTGGGGGGAAAATAAGGGAAGCAGGAGGGTACAAACAGAGATACCAGGGAGGGAAATGAGGTGAAGCAGGGAGGGAAATGAGGTGAAGCTGTGAGGGAAATGAGGTGAAGCAGTGAGGGAAATGAGGTGAAGCAGTGAGCGAAATGAGGTGAAGCAGGGAGGGAAATGAGGTGAAGCAGTGAGGGAAATGAGGTGAAGCAGGGAGGGAAATGAGGTGAAGCAGGGAGGGAAATGAGGTGAAGCAGTGAGGAAAATGAGGTGAAGCAGGGAGGGAAATGAGGTGAAGCAATGAGGGAAATAAGGTGAACCATGGAGGGAAATGAGGTGAAGCAGTGAGGGAAATGAGGTGAAGCAGTGAGGGAAATGAGGTGAAGCAGGGAGGGAAATGAGGTGAAGCAGTGAGGGAAATGAGGTGAAGCAGTGAGGGAAATGAGGTGAAGCCGTGAGGGAAATGAGGTGAATGTTAAGAATACTAGGCAAGAATGAGTAGATTAGGTCAAGATGGAGGTACAAGGCTAGAATGTCGAGAGAAATTCTGTACCCCCTAAATCTAGCCCCAATACAGCCTAACTAACAATAAACATATAGTTTGACACACCCCCATAGGCGAAATGGGGGATAGCCAGAACAAAGACAATGGTCACAAGACCAGTCAAGAGAAGAAACAAAGCACAGCTCAGGATGGATCACAAAGTCACCACACACACCGAGCACAAGCAAGAGGCCACAAGGCCAGTTCACATGCAGAGCACAAGCAATACAGTGATCACAACCTAGCAAGTGTAAGCATACAGGAATATATATAGATCACAATACAGGCAAAGGCTACAGCAAGTGAGGAAACGTAGGCACAAGGCCCAACAAGGTACAAAAGCGCTGATGATCACCAGGCGGAAGTGCCTTGGTGAATATATCACCTGTGTTGGCCCGAGTGGCCACGTAAACCAGACGAAGCTGACCACGCTGCTGCAACTCTCGAGCCAAGAAGTAACGCAGAGCGATGTGCTTCGTTCTGTGCTCTAGGCTGTGCTCCTGACACAAGGCAATGGCGGCCTTGTTGTCGACGTACAACACTTGAGGAGAACGAGGCCGCTCTCCCAAGTCGGTCAGCAGGTAGGTGAGCCAGCGTAACTCCTGTGCAGCCATGGCTGTGGCGTAGATCTCAGCCTCACAACTGGAGCCGAGAACCTTAGGCGAGCGTGTAGAACGCCAAGAAACAGAGCCAGAGCCAAGGCTAAAGGTGTAACCCTGTGACGACCGCTGCGTAGCTTGGTCGTCAACCCAAGAAGCGTCCGAGTGACCAGTGAGGACAACGTCGCCCCGCCCTCCAAGCATGAGCCCCATGCCTGATGTACTGCACAAGTAGCACAGTAGCGCCCTAGAAGGGGGAACCTCGTCGACATAGATGCCTGTGGACTTCCAAGATGCCATCTCTGCGTCCATGGCTGACTGCCACTGAGAGGAGTACTCACCCGCGATCGCCTCAGCGTAAGAGCGCGGGGTCGGGATGTCTGGAGCATCCGGGTCTCCCTCAGGGGCAAGCAGCATGGACACAAGATGAGGCGCAGCGGCTGCAAGACACTCAAGGTCCTCTTGCCTGTCCTCAAGGACGTCCGTGCCGAGAGCACACTCAACCCCGACGGACGGAGGACAGACAGATTGAGACTCAGCAACAAGACTAGCGGCGTAGTCTAGACAACAGGCAGCAGCAAAGTCGACAAGCTCAGATACTAGGGCAGACGCAGCAGTGGACTCAAACGACGGGTCAGTGACAACAGTGGCTAACATACGTGTGACCGTAGGGTGCTCACTACGGAACAGGTCAGACTCACGTTCAGCAGCGTCAGGCAGAGAAGACTCACGAGGGGACGGCAAAGGAACACAAGGCGAAGAAGTGGAAAGACGACGGACTACAAGGTGGGTGCCTGGAACAGCCCGCTGATGCTGACGAGGAACACGACGACCAGAACGGACAGGCGAGATAGGACGCGACGCAGGCTCACGACGCTCAGCAAGACCTCCTGACTGCTCAGTGTAAGGAGAAGGAGTAGGCAAGGGTGAGCCAGGCTGTAACGGAAGACCAGTAGACAACGAGAGGCTAAGAACCTGGCGAAGCACGGAGGCAGGCGGTGGTAGAGAGAACGGAGAAGGCGGAGAAAATAACAGGCGTGGCTGCGCAACGCCACCAGTACCAGCGGCTCCAACACCTTGAGCAGCTCTAGCACCCCCAGCAGCTCCAGTACCTCCAGCAGCTCCAGCGCCCTTAGCAGCTCCAGCACCCTCAGTAGCTCCAGCACCCTCAGTAGCTCCAGGACGCTCAGCAGCTCCAGCACCCTCAGCAGAAGCACCCCCAAAACCAGCACCTCCAGTCCCAGGGTCACCAGCCTCAGTGTCTCCAGCAACAGCACCCCCAGACCTAGGGTCCCCACCAGGAGTACCCTCAGGCTCAGCAGCACCTCCAGCACAAGCAGCTCCAGTACCTCCAGTACGAGCACCTCCGAGACCAGCACCACTCCTAGCTCCAGTTACGGCAGTAGAAGTACCTCCAGCAGCAGAGCCCTGAGCTCCAGAAGCGCGACCCTGACGGCGACCGTACCAGTCGTGCCGCTGCTGTGAGGTGAGAGGTACACGCGCACGAAGACGGGTACTCCAAGGAGACCGCGGAGCAGCAGTCTCAGCACCCCCAGACTCAGCACCCCCAGGCTCCGCACACGCAGGCTCAACACCCCCAGACTCCGCACCCCCAGGCTCCTCACACGAAGGCTCCGCACCCCCAACAGGACCTGAGTCACCACTGACCTCCACAGGCGTAGGCACAAGAGGGTTTACCTGAGAAACACCTGAAGGAGCAGGACCTGGTGCGGGGAGGGGGTCTACCTGGGGAGGACTTGGAGCAAGAAAGAGCGGCGGGGGGGGGGCGAGGGGCAGTGTGGTAGGGAAAGAGACGGTAAAAGGGGACGGACTCGTCAAAGGTGACGTCTTGAGACGCAAAGACAGCCATGCGCGTCAAGGACAAAGCCAAGGAAGACGCAGGGAATGGCGCGAGGGGAGAGCTTGTCCGTAGTGGTATCGCGAACAAAGGCACGGGCACCCCAGACTCAGAAGCGCGACGCATCGCCAACCTCCGTCGTCCAACGCAGTGTGGGCGACGTCTCCGGTACAGAGACACGGGGCCAGAGGTTGAGCTGATGTGCGGCGTACCTGACCGCAAACGGCCACAGAAAATGGGGGGCAGCCGCATGGATCATGGAGGTACGAGCGACCTCCATGACTAAGCCAATGCGGCGCTCAGCAACCCCATTCTGCTGCGGAGAGGCCGGAAGCGTGAACGTCTGGCGGATGCCGTGCTCCGCACAGTAGGCTGCCAAGAGGTCCGAGGAGAACTCACCACCTCTATCAGAGTGCAGACAGGAGACGAAAGTCCGACAGGAACCGCTCGCGGAGCTAGAGACGAACAGCGCGGATCCAGGGGATCAAAACATGAGGGACGTCCCCCTTGCGCTGCAAGGGGAAGAACGTGGTGTAACGCGTGTAGTCGTCGACGACCAGCAGGAAGTACCACTCGTGGCCCTGTCCATGGACGCGAGCTGGGCCCCACACGTCCAGGTGGAGAGCCTGCAGTGGAGCCTCTGTGGGAGGGAACAAGGAGGAGTGAGGAGCGGCGTGCTGCCGCCCCTCGACACAAGGAATGCAGGGCGTCACAGGCGAGGGAGGGAGGGCAGGCAGAGACCTGGGAAGGCCAGAGACCAGGAAGCGAGAGTGCATGCTCCGAAGGCGAGGCAGGGAGGGGTAACCAAGGCGGTGGTGCCACAGGAGAGTGTCGTGCGACAGCCGGCGACACTCACACTGGGTAGCTACCTGAGCAGACGCGTACTGCTGAGGAGACAAAGGGGTGTAGCACGACGCAGTGGTGAGGGTGTACAGACTGGACCCGGGCACACGTCTGAACGTGGCCAGGTGGCGGTCTGTCCGGGAGCACGTGCAGATCGCTACACGCTGTCCTCCAGGAGTAAAGGTGTCAACTCAGTGATCCTGAAAGACGGCGTTGCTCACCAGGTTCGTAGAGAACGAGGGTAGGTGGAGACCTGACAGCTCACCAGACGTGACCGCCGGACACGGAAGCACAGTGGTGGACCGTGCAAGCACTGGGCCCCCAGAGGGGTCAGCCAGTGAGATAGGGACAGGACGACGAAGGGGAGTGAGTGTGGTGCTGTCAGGAAAGAAACAGCGGGAAGCACCAGAGTCAAGTGTAAAAGTGTGCAAGGCCTGAGTGGACGCAGTACCAGGGAGAGCAGACTCACTAGCACCTA